TGTTTTTCATCATCATTGAAAATCAATTTAACACATACCAAGTGAGGAGCCAGATGGGGAGAAAGAGCTTGGAGAAAAAATACTGGTATATCTACTCCAGAGCAGTGCAAAGGCTTCTTGACAACAAACAGTGCAACCATGCAATAATGCAGAGGGGAGTAACCCACTTCTACTCTAAATCCTCCTCCGCATATGTTCCTTGCTTTGAAAGCCTATATGAAAGGAAGCAATATAAAGCAAGTAAGTTCTCTGCATCCAAAAATCATAGGTCACTGGCTATCTGATTGTCACTGATAGCTTTGCACAGTCTGTTACATTATCCTGAGATTTGATATTGTTTTAAAATACCCATTTTCCCTTTCATGGACACAAAATATAAGTAAAATAAGTCGGTTAGTGTAAGTGCAGCTGAGCTACCTTGGGTTTTCTTTGGAGAAAAGGATGCCAAAGTGTATTTTGGAATAGTTTTATAGCACCTTACCCTCTGGCCTCAGCTCAGAGCTGTATTTACTAATAGGTCAGAAATAGCTGACTCCCAGTGACTCACAAATATCGGAGAGGCACCTCCAGCATCACTGCAGCCAATGAAGCTTTGTGCCTTCTCTTCCATGCTTAGCAGCCTGAGACATGTCTCCTCACAGCCAGTGCTATGGACAGGGTAACCAAGTGACAGCTTTGTGCTGCTTTTTCTGTCTTTGTCTCTACCTTTGTCTACACAACTGAAGGTCTGTCCCTAATGGAGAAAAAAGATGCATTTCAATTTCTGTAGCGCTGGGCTCTAGATCAATAGCAGTAACTTAATCCTTGTTTTTTCCCTTCCTTCTTTATACTATTATTAGACCATTTCCTTTGTCTCTGTTTCTCATTTTTGTGTGTGTGTGTGTTTTTAGGAGACCACTATTATATTTTCCTTTTTCTTTACTGCGAATATGTCTAAAGAGCCCATTGTTGTGAGCTGAAATATTTATGTAGTTTAGCATTCAGTAATTTCATTTGCTCCTTTAATTTGATCCTTTAACTTACTTCTGCTTATTTTTACATACAGTGCCTCCAAATCCTCTGCACAGATTTGTTTATCTTTTTTAAAAGCTTTCAGCTCTCTGCTTGTAAAACTCTTTACATTTCATTCCATACCTAACCACAATGGCCTATGTTGCACTTTTGCCGGTTTAGATTGAAGTGGGAAGAATTTCAACTGCACTCTTTCCAACAGTTGCTTAAACATTTCCCACTTTTCCCCTAGTAGCTTTCCCACAGTTAGTAGAAATCCAATCAAAAATACTTTCCACTTTTTTTTTTTTTTTTTTTTTTTTTTTTCAAATTCAGCTACTTTATTTCTTTTATGCTTTCTGGTAGTATTTTGTACTCGCCCTTGAAATTTGTAATCCACCTTAAATATTTTTAGGCAAGCTTATATATGTGTGTACATGTGTGCAAACGCACATATCCATGCACACATGCACACACAGAACTATATTTAGCCCTTTTTCCTCTCTCTCATCACCCTGGCTTCCAAACGGCTTACATCCTACTCTTTCCTTTTCATGTTTCTTTTCATGTTTCTTTTCTTTTCTTTTCTTTTCTTTTCTTTTCTTTTCTTTTCTTTTCTTTTCTTTTCTTTTCTTTTCTTTTCTTTTCTTTTCTTTTCTTTTCTTTTCTTTTCTTTTCTTTTCTTTTCTTTTCTTTTCTTCTCTTCTCTTCTCTTCTCTTCTCTTCTCTTCTCTTCTCTTCTCTTCTCTTCTCTTCTCTTCTCTTCTCTTCTCTTCTCTTCTCTTCTCTTCTCTTCTCTTCTCTTCTCTTCTCTTCTCTTCTCTTTTCTTTTCTTTTCTTTTCTTTTCTTTTCTTTTCTTTTCTTTTCTTTTCTTTTCTTTTCTTTTCTTTTCTTTTCTTTTCTTTTCTTTTCTTTTCTTTTCTTTTCTTTTCTTTTCTTTTTTTCCCCCTTTTTGGTTTCAAACAATTGTATTGAGACCTTCTTAGTGTAGCAAACCTATTAGTGGGATGGGGAGATATCTGATAGGAGGCATATGTCCTGTCCTTGGGGACATCTGACCAATTGGACTTCTTGATGTGAGTTCTGGCACAGGCCACCAGCCCAGATGTTTTGGTGGTATGTAGGACAGTGAGAGAGGAGTGATGTTAGACTGAGGACAGAGAGACTGTAAACAGAAAAAGTTGGATTCTTTTTCCCTAAACTGATGATATTCAGAGACTGAAGCTGGGCTTCAGAGCAGAAGTCTGAGTTACAGACGGCATCCTGGTGGAGAGACTACCATGATCCCTCATTGCCTGTCATTGTCACACTGCAGCTCTCCCTTAGCCCCACTTCTATGTTTCTGTAAGTCTCTGAAAGAGAGATACATTTGCTGCTTTACATTAACAAGAATTGGAAAAGCATTAGCTAATTCAACTCTTTCAAAATCCTTGGGCTTAGCTGAGCTGTGTGTGGCTCCAGTTTTACTCTGGTCTAGGTCCAACAATTTCACTGGCATAAAAGAGGATGAATCAGGCACTTTTAAGTATTGTTTAATAAGCTGATTGTATAGAAAGGCCAACTGGAGCAGAGGCATGAGGTGGCTTGAGTCATTTTCTACTCTTGTGCTCATTCTTCAAGGCCGTGCTTCCACATCAAGGGTACATTCCGGGTTGCGCAATTTGGTCAAAGCCAAAAGTTGTGGGCTGTGGGCTTAGCTCTTCAGCTGGTTTTAACTGGCAAAGCTCCTATGAAACCAAGTTTTAATTAATGGAACAATTCCAGGTTATACCCACCAGGAAACCTGGCCACTCTTTCCCAAATTTATGTGATGTTTGTTTATTTTCTCCACCCAGGTGGTGCCTCTAACCCAGTTTTATTTCCAGATGACTACTTTGCTGCACATTTCTCTTTGAAATCCAACCTCCAGTGATACTTAACTGTAATGTATTTTTCCTCACTTGCTTGTCCATGTTAGCAACCAGAATGAAACACTGTATTAAAGGTGGAACAGAAAGGTCATAGAAACAGAATTGTTTGAGTTGCCTCTTTAAAGGGACCTTTAAAGACCATCTAGTCCAACTCCTCTCCAGAGTGAACAGCCCCAGATCTCTCAGCCTGTCTTTGTAAGGAGGGGTGTTCCATCCCTTGGGAAGAGGTGAGTCCAAGTAAGAGCATGCCCCTGTGTATGAACTGCACGTTAATTCACATGCTAGCATAAAACCAAACGTTGATTGTTTTATTTTGCTAAAGCAAATAATCAAAATCTGCTAGTGGAATTGTGTGTGTTTAAATGTATGCATGCCACTTTTTATTTGTCATGTAGCCTTTATTACTAAGTGTTAAAGGATTTGTACTGCAACTAAATAGGGGGGGCTAGAGTGTTCTGAGTAAGAGATATTTTGAAAGAGCTGCTTTGTAAAGCATGCAATAATAACAACAACATCCAAGCTGATTAGGGATGTCATAATATTATCAGTAGGTATTTTAAATCCCCAATGATTTGTTTGTTTATTTGAAGCACTGGGTTTTGTTTTTTCTTCTTTTAAGAGTAGAGCGGCAATACACTTCTTTTGTAAGAGAAATAGTGTCAACAGAAGTCTAAGGAGCACATGCCTGTAGAACATCTGCTCTAAGAAGCCACTTGAAAAATAACCATGCAGTAGCATGATAACAAAACATCTGCAAAGGACTGGGAGGAATATTAGCAGTGGGAGGAGGCAAGGAAGGACAAGTGAAGTTGGACCGAGATCAGGGATACACATCTACCAGCGGCAGCACCTCTGTTATAACAGCGGTCTTTCATGTTTACATCTGTGTGTAGCATGAAAGGTTTGTTAGAAGTGGGCAGGGAGGCGGTGAGAAGAAGACTGGGGAGGGTTCCAATCATTTACCCATGTGCTGGGCTGCAGACCCAGCTTTCCACCGTGAGCCAGCTGTGCTGCTGGGAGGCAGCACATCGTTGGGCAGGCGCTGGAGCCCTGTGTACAATCAGAGCTGGTGTGCCTAAAGCCCATTTCTTGCTTTCCTTTGTTGTGCTGGACATGTTGGATGAATCACATATAATTTTATTAGAAAAACATTGTTCTTATTAAAATCTTGTATAAATAAGCCATCTGCCTTCACACATCTATTTGAAGATATATATATATATATATTTATGCTGGCAATTTGATATGAACACTTCTTTGCTGAACACTGGGAGGATGACACATAGTCCTGTCTTAACCATTAAGCAAAAATTTGGCTTTAATTGATGTGCAGATTACACTGTCTTTTAAAAGTGGCATAGTTAGTGTTTATTCAATTGCACAAAGGCAAATCCACAGCAACTTTTAACAAAGAGCACATACTACTGAGACATTTCCCACAACATACCATGGCCTTAAAATCCCACTGGTTTGCTATAGAATAAACAGTCAGGAATTCTTGGAAATTAAAAAACAAAAACCACATGGACGGTAGGAGAAAATTAAATTAGTGACCTTAGGTAGAAACAAGTAAGATTTTCAGGCATCTACTCTGTTTCCAATCTTTTTCATTCTTTTTTTCTGGTATTAATCAACCTCTTAAATTTCCCATTGGATCTGGCTTTTTCCATTACAAATTTAAAGATATTGTAGAATGACAACCTCAATATACCAGAAATTGTATATTATCCTTCTGCATAATTCATGCAGAAAGTGATACATATTCATGAAGAGTACAAATGTTTGTGTATATATGAGAAATAGCTGAGTGCAAATAGACAGAAGAGTATGTATCTGTATTTACAGTGGAAGAGAGATGCTTGCCAATGGGTGCATCAGTTTGTTATGAAATGCTTGATTTAAAGAAAAAATCCCCATGCTTTTATTGTTGGTAACCAATCCTATTTAATGTAATGAATCATGAAATGGAAGAAAAAATAAACTGTGACACAGAGCCAGGCATAGGAATCAAGATGTTTTGTCACTGCAAATGAATCAAATCTGCTTATATTTCTCCCCATCACCTCCACCCCACCCAAAAAAGCAACAACAACAAAAAGTAGCAAATAGTTTTGGTTTATTCTACGCGCTCTGAATCTTGCTAATTGGAAAACTCTGCCTGGAAAACATGAAGAACATAGTGATAAGGACATTGTGAACATGTCATTATTTCAGTGTATTTATACATAGTACAACGGACAGTTTTGTGAATCACAACTGGAATGGTAGACTGTATTCTGGAAGGATAGTGGTAGCAACATTTTAAAAAGAAGAGTAAAAACTCACCATTTATTGAAAATCAGACTTCTTTCAGGTGTCTCCAGCTCATCAGCAACATGAATTGTTCAGTTGAGTAACATTTTTTTAAGGGTAAAGAACATGAGCTGTAAGATATAATATGGACTTCATGACCCTAGCCTTACTTTCAAGATTTCCTTTACTTCTTTGTGTCCATTCATTGGCGCCTGGATGAGGAGCTACGAGATATGGTTTAGTAGCTTGTGGTACTGGGAATGGGAGGGTGGTTGGACTAGATGACATTGCAGGTCGTTTCCAACCTTGCGATTCTATGATTCTATGATATAACATATCAAGAATACAGGAGTATGCGCATCTCCTGAAATAGTGGGGAGCAGGTGTTCATTCAGCTTCTTGCTGCTAACAGAATGTGTGGGTTTTAAGTAATAAAGGGGTAAAGAAATCTAAAGAAAATCTCTTCAATGTTAGAAAAGAGTTATTCATGAATTACAACTATCCCAAATTTTACCAAACTTATTGAAATCTAGAACACCAGATCAAGTTTGATTATCTCCAAACTCACTCCATATCTTTTCATGATGACAAATATTTTCTTCATCGCCTGCAACACTCTTTAATTTGCAGGGTTACAGAAGGGAAAAAAAAAAGTCTTCAGTGCTAATAAACATTTGAGCCATTTACTTCAATAGTTAGCAATCACTGTATAACGACTTACAAAAATTGCACATCCTCTGTTTAACTAAGATTCTGCCTGTGATCATCATAATCAGTTCTGCCTGTTTGAAGAAACGCATGCTTGCACAGCTTGAAACATTTAAAACCTTTCAAGTTGGGCTTTGGCACCTCTGATGGTATGTACTGTGCTTATGACAGTTAATCATGTGAACACAACTTTTTTCTCTTCCCTTTAAACTTGGTAGATTTAAGATTATCTTTTTTTTTTTTTTTTTTTTTCTCATATTATTTCTTCAAAGTTAAATTTCCAGTGCATGAAACTACTTGACCTGGAAAATAAACACAGCATCACATATTAGCACTGTGGGATAGCAAAAGAAATCTGATCTTTGTAACTAACAAAGGAGACACATAAAAGAACAAGGGCCTGATTTTCTATGGAGCTTTAACAACAGTTTTCAGATACCTAAGTGGATAGTGTCTGCAATTATCCTTCAGTATCTTTCTTACAGGAGATTTAAAAATCTGGTCTTTGAATTGTGGTGACCTACCTTTAATTTCTTCACAGTAATAAAAATGGACATTTCTCTTAGACTTCAGTGGACACAGCTGATGTTTACTCCCCCTGAGGAAATTGGGCCCTACACATTGAAGCCTCCACTGGTGCAATGTGACTGGGCTTCTGGCAAAACTCTGAAAGCATATGCTTTTTCTCTTCTTGAGTCCTCTTAGTCCTGCTCAAAGCAGCACTAAGTCAGATCCTATTTTTTGAGACCTTGTACCTTGAATTTTAAACATGTTCAGTGCTGGAGATTTCACAGCCACTCTGCACCATCTTCAGTGTGATTTTTTGGGATGTCTAGCCAGAAGTTTCCTTTCTATCAAGTGTAGCTGTTGCTTCTGCTGCGATTGGACACCTTGGGAAGAGTCTGGTTCTGTCCCAACTACACGATCAGCTTTTTATAAGGGAGCATTTTGCACGAGTGATTTTCCCCCTTAGCCTCTTGTTCACCACACGGAACAAAGCTGAACCCTGTCAGTTTCTCCTCATAGTTCATGTGCCCCTGTCTAACCATTTTGGTGGCTCTCAACTGCAGGTTATCAATGCCTTTTGTGCTATCAAGATGAGAGCCAAATAGAGGAGAAGAAATAGCAGAAATTTTTCATTTTGTTATGATATTTCAAAATTATTCCTTTTTTCCCATCACAAGATATTTGACTGATGTTCTCATACAGCTCTAGACATCCTCACTCCATGCAGGGAAACACAGTGGGAGAACCAAGCCTGGCAGTGCTGACAAACCCTGTGTCCCATGATTGATCACTTGAAATTTGACACAGATAATATGGAAAAAGGTCATCTGAAGGAGCAGGGCTATCTTGTGGCCAGTGTTACATTTGTAATCAGCATTGCCTTTATTGCCTCTTTGAAGATTACGTGTCATACTCTCCACTGGTTTTATGCTTTCTGATATCGATCAGGATCTGCTGTAACTAGATATGTACTGGGAATATGTTTCCTTGAGTTCTGAACAATACAATTCTCAGTTACATAAAACAACCATTCCAAGCATGAAATAGTCATCAGTCTTGTAAAGACAGTGCAAATGTGATTGCCTAGTCTTTGTAACATAATGGATCATTATATTCTCAGGAAAACTGGAAAGTCCAACAGAAACTGAAGAACAAATCTTCTGTAAATATTTGGGAATGTTCATGCTTTTGGCTTCTAACTGCTACTGCAAGGAATAAGTTTGCCATGGAACAGTAAATTTATGCAAGGGACAATCAACCATGTAAAGACAATCTTAGATTCTTAAAGGACTGTCAGATATCATCTTGTTCTTTAGATTGTCTCAATATGTATGCTATAGCTGTGATTCATAACATAACCATCCACAGGATTCTTGCTTGGTTAATATGTCTTATTTTGTCAGAGACAAAAAATTAGTAGAATACAGAACTCTGCTTTTTACTTAAAAAATTGAGTTATGCCTCTTTGTAGGCATAGGCTACAGAAAAAAAGGTGCAGCAGCAAGGGATGGATTACATTGCCCCCTTTAACTGTGGACATTTTGTGATTCTATAAAAGCTGTTTATCATAGTGCTTCTCTCATTTGGCTGCGCTATTCTCTTCATGTCCATATTACATCTTGTCTTACTTAAGTTGATAGCATTTTTTTCTCTTTTCTCTGAATAGAACCTTGCATGGGGCCAGAGTTTGATGGATGTTTCTATACATGTCAGTGTTGGAAATACAATTGTGAACATACTTGGATGTTGCTAATACCTAATTACATTACATATTTGTGAATTATTTCAGTGTTTCAACAGAGAAGACAGGTTAGAAATGCTGAGTGTTCAGGCATGTTGATTGTGGTATTCAAGAAAATTATTGCTTCCAACACCACCAGATGTTATCATGTTTTTCCATTCTGCTTCTATTGGGTGTATCTGACATTTCAAAATAACATAAAAAAATACCAATGACTATTAAACACATGCTTATTTATAATCCTGGTCTCGTGCAGAATCTTCAAAAATTATGCTGAAGTGATTTCTGTAGTTATGGCTTGTCAGTGTGCTTTTATATGGGCATATTTTATCCTTTCATTTGATTTTGGAGTGGTAAATAAGGATCACAAATAGATTTTCTTTGCCTGGAAGGGTTGTATGTTTTTCATTATTGCTTACTTACAGAGTTCAAATGCATTATGTATACTAGATTTCTGTCCCTAAATATGCTTTACAATACAATTCATCATGCTGCCATCTCAGAATTTTAGCTGTAGGCTGCAGGAACAAGAAAGAAAGATAATAAGATCTTATTTTGAAAAATATAAGAAAGGCTCCTCATAAAGTAATTTTGGCAAGCTAATTTTCTTTCACTTCTAATTATCCTGAAGGTATCAATAGTCACATTTTCCTTTATCACTTTACGTATACATGGATTTTAGGGTTTTAATCTGTATGTGCTGTTAAAATAATAGATTACAGAGATACAGTAAGGTTTGTATGAGTTTTAGTAAGATACTTGGAGTAGCAGTCAAAGCAACCCGATCAAGTTAATGGGTCAGTGTGCATAACAGTGGGCTGTCTTGCAACAGAATGTTCACATGACTAAAAGAATGGCAGCACATTATTTGCAGTTAAGTTTGTTCTAGCCATTCCTTATGGTGAGCTATGTTTCCAGATGACAAATTTGACAATCAAGATTAAATGCTTGCAAAGGTCCTTTCTAGTAGTTCACTGGAAGAATCATCATAAAGTAGACATGCCATTTTAGACTAACTTTTTTTTTTACATACTCTTTAGAGAAAATGCAGGAGAGTAGAATGATCGTGGAACAGAGGAGAGAATAACAGCAATTACTCTGCAGTGAGATGTCATTCTGAATGAGAATTTGGAAAATTCTGAATGAGAATTTGGAAAAAAACATAGTTTGGCCTTCAGATAGGTGTTTAGGAAACAGTAACCTCTTCCCTTCTCTGACTGAGCATTACGGCATATTGAGGACATTTAAGAATTTCTTAAGATAAATTGACATGATTTATGGGAATTTATAAGGCACTGGATAGATGAAGATATATTGGGATCTTATCCAACAGGACTATTATAATATCTCATTTAGCTTTCTGTTTTGACAAAAATCTCACATGCTGTTCGCGAAATAAATCTTTTTAAAGTCATTTGATATTTCTTGATAGGAGCTCAAGAACAGCACTATGCCCTATATCATGTCTTTGCTGTGCTGCCTGTCAGTCTGCAACTTTGTCAGAACATTATCCCATTATTATGACAAACACTTAAGACACAAATAGACTACTTTTGTTCAAGGGAGACTTATGGTAGAGCAAACTGGCTGATTTGATAATCCCTAGGACCTTATGAGCTGTGTTTCAGGGACCAAATTCCCTCTCTAGATTTGCTTGCAGTTTATGTTGTTCACACATATTAAGTAACTTCCAGAAGATTTGGCTGAGAACGTAGATAAAAGACTGAACTCATATGTCGCATTTCTTCATTGCACAGACATGCACTATTCATAACGTGACATTTGACTCACACATAAGAACCTAATTATTTTCTTCCAAGGATGTGTATTAATCCAGACTCAGAGTAGGAAGATAGTTGCTGCTTAAGTACAGCAAAATGAGACTCTTTGGTTTCCTGTTGTTAAAAACATAAGTCAAAATAAAATAAAATGGAGTAGCCTCCATTTTGCAATACTTTGCAAACCTATGAACAATGGTTTTCTAAACGTGTTTTAAATAGTGGATGGCCTGAGTGATGGTCACAGTTTAACAGTGGTGTTTGAATCTGAACTAGTTTCCACTGTGGGAAATGTCTGGCTTTCACTGATGAGGAAATCCCATTTATTCCAAAAAGC